CATGTGCGTGCGCGTGTGCATGTAAGTACGCGCGAGAGAGAGATAAGAAACAGAATTAGAAAGAGAGAGGGGGTGCTACGTGACAGTTGCCACAGTCATTTGCTTATACTTATTATCCTTATTATGCTTTATATGATTATTTCTTCCTAATTTTTGGAACTAAAACCTGTAAATCAGCATATGTTCTTATGATTACCATATCCAATGTTGATTCTTCCGGCAGTCTTCGAAGAAAAATTGGATTCGAATTAAATTGCAAACGTGATATCACAACTACAACTAATATGAGCGAGTAGGTTTCGTAGTGTGTTTGACTCGTTTAAAGTCTTCCATTCTCCCTAATCACTCTGCATTGTAACACCATAAGCTGCCAGGGTATATACAGTAAGTAATTAGTGGAAATTAACGTATTTCTTGCAAAAAGGAAGAAATATATTTGTCTTCACGTTGCAAATCTTGTTACGATTTTGGTGTGCGCCGTCGATTCCTAAAACACAGTCGCGTCTTATGGGTACTGACTTATTCAAATTGAATGGGCAAAATCTGTTCTAATACATATAACTATTTTAAATACGTAATACCACTTCAAATATTTTATGTGAATATCCCTGCTGCGTATGTAGTAGAGTGGAATGCTTGACCCTCGTGGTCCCGAGTTCAATTTCCGCCGTCGCGGGCGGTTGTAAAAATGCGCTGTGGGCTCTGACTGCTCGCTCGCGCCCGAAAAAACGGCATATCTTTAATAGTGAATTGAGAGAGCACACTAGGTCCTGCAGTGGAAATGAATGGCTGTTAAAAAAAAAAAAAAAAAAAAAAAAAAAGATATATATTTATGTAAAATATATATATAATATATAATGTTATATATATATATATATATATATGTATTATATATATAATATACTGTTATATATATATATGTTATTATATATACATATTATGTATATATATATGTATATATATTAATATATAGCAAAAATGGGGGAATTTTTTCATATATATACCTATGTATACACACACACACATTTTTTTATGTATGTATAATATATCGAAATGTATATATATATATATATATATAATATATATATATATTATATATATATATATATATATAAATATATATTATATATATATATATATATAAATATATAGATATATATATTATATACATATTTATCTATATATACATATTCATTTAATATAAATATTTAAATATATATATCTATATATGTATCTAATATGTATTTAACATATATTACATATATCATAATATACATATCTGCATATTATATATACATATATATATATATATTATGTATATGTAATATAGATATATACATGTCTATGTGTGTGTGTATGTTTATGTATATTATATGTATATATGTATATATAATATATATGTATATATATCTATATGTATATCTATCTATATCTATCTATCTATCTATATATATATATATTTATATATATATATTATATGCAATTATATGTCATATATGTTATTTATATATGGTATATACATGTGTATATATATAATTTATATGTCTGATATTGAAATATCTATATCTATATCTATATTATATATATATACATATATGTGTGTGTGTGTGTTTGTGTGTGTGTGCATATGATATATATATATATGATTTATATATGTCTGATATTTAAATATATATATATATTATATCTATCTATCTATATATATGTATATCTCTGCTTCCTTACTTACTACACGAATTTCTCCCTTGCCACTTGTCTTGCCATTAGATATCTTCCTAATTTCCTCCTAATTTCTTGCCACTTGAAGCTCTACGCAGTTCTGTTTTGTATATCTATATATCAGTCTATTTGTTTGCTAATGTAATTTATGCATTTATCTATTCATAGACTAGTTTATTAAATGATTTACTTATTTTTTAAATCTATTTATTCATATACAAATAGGGCAGATTTAATGATCGTAGTTTCAGCTTCATAATTTTTGGTTCATTTGCCGTTTTGATCCGCCATGTAACAGGTTCAGACAAAGCGACTGGTGGCTGGACAACATGCTAACCGGAATCCCGCGCATCATCGTTGGAAAATGCACAGGTGATGGCGTTGTAAATAGCATGGAGCTCTTTAAGACAGAGGATTTACCTGCACTGGCGGAGGTAAGGTTTTACGATGCTGAAAAATATCTGCAATAATGTTTGAAGTCAGTCATAGGATTTTATTTATCAAGTAGCATCTCCGGTCCGGAGGTTGACAACCAGTTGCCTCCAACTATCTCTGTCCTCAGCCTTTCTCTTTGCATCTGCAAGCACGTCGGTTTGACTTCATTCTGCGATGCCATTTCCCCAGGTTCTTCTTTGCCTTCCTTTAAATCTCATCTTCCTCTTGGCATGAATTTAAATTCTTTGCTTAATTCTCTTTTTTCTGATCATTTCTCGTTATTCTTTATTTTTGAGCATATTTGTTTATTTTCCTTTTTTATTATGTTTATGATAAAAATAACACAATCGATTGTCATAAGCACTGGTGAAAAATACGTTTTTCCTGCCTTTCAAATCAGCGTTGATATATAATTCTATATATATTATATATGATATAGATATATATATGGATATATTATGTAGTTATATACCATATTGCAGATATATATACATTGTTTTATTTATATCTATATATATATAGATATATATAGATATATATTTATATATCATAACATATTAGGTGATTAGATGATGAAATATATATATATGATATATATATATAAGATATATATATATAGACATATATAGATATATACAGAGTAGGAGAGAGATATGTATATAGATGTATATATATGTATATGAAATATATATATAATATAGATACTACATATATATAATATATATATATCTAATGATATATAAATGATGTATATTATATTAGGTAGTTATACTTATGTTATATATATTCTATATAGGTTGATATATGATATATACATATATATTGTATATATATATATATATATATATTACATATATATATATGTATATTATGTATATATCTATATATGTATATATTAATATGTATATAAGATAGTATAGTATATATACCTATATACATATATATGACTATATATGTACATATTATATATATTATATATATATATATATATTATATATTAATATATATATAGATATATATATTATATATATGAGACATGTAGATATATTTATATATAATTAGGTTGTATATCTGTTATAATGAGATATATTATATGTATATGAGAAATATGGATTATATTAGATATATATATATGATGTAATATATATATAATATATATAATGATATAGATAGTAGTGTAAATATATATAAAATATATATATATATAGATAGACCTATATGATATATTATATATATGTATATTATATATACATATAATATATTACAGATATATTATATATACATATATAGACAGATTATTATATATACATATAGATATATATAGAGATTATATACTATATATATATATCTACAATATATAATTATTTACATGAGGGATATAAATATAGTATAATATATAGATAGATATATATAAGATATATATGTATAATATATAATATACATAAAATATAGATATATATATACCTATATTAGAATATATATATATAGGAGGTAATATATATTATAGTATACATATAATTATATATATATATATATAGATGGATACATATAATATATATATACATAATATATATATATGGATGTCTATAGATAGTATGTATATATATATACTATATCTATGTGTGTGTATACATATATATATATAGATAATATATCTAGATATATATATATATGCATATATATATATATATGTAATATATATATATATGTTATATATATATATATATATATAGGTATAGATATATATATAGAGAGATGTAGACATATATATATTATATATACATATATATACATATATTATGCATATATATACTATATAGTATATATTAATATATATAAATAATTGGATAAACACAACATAAGGATATTATATATATATATACAATATATATATACTATAATAGATATATAGATATGTATATATATATATATATGTATTACATATATAGATATATATGATATATATATATATTATATATATATATATAATGTATACACTCATACATATTATATACATATATATATCTATATGTATGTGATTAATAGATATGTATATATATATATACATGTACAATATGTTCTCTAGGTATGTAATATCATCATATCTCTACTCTATGTATTGTATGTATGTCTATGTATTTGTATCAATCTCTATACTAATATACTTAAAATATTTACCTATATGTATATATAACATATATATAGATATAATATTTATATATGTGTGTGTGTGTGCTTGGGCGTGTGCGTGTGTGTGTGTGTCTGTGTGTGTGGTGTGTGTGTGTCCGTGAATTTGTGTGGTTGTAAATATTATAAATATTTTTATAATATATATACTATAGATGCATAGAAATATATAAATACATATCTCATACATAAATAATTTTTTGAAAAATATAATTAATTATATAACATGATATATATAAATATCACTATACATGTATAATGCATATGTATGTGTATATAAGATCATTATAATATATATATATACATACATACTACACATATATATACATAATATTTCCACGCACATCCATCCTTTCTCTCCGACACGGTTGCGTCGAGAATGTGACGGGTCCCGCCAATCTGACGGCTTTTTTGCTTAGGCCATCGAGGTTGGCACAGGAAATATTTGTTCTTAGAACTATTTACACTACTGAGGCCTTGTGTGCCAAGTTAAAAGAATGTAATTAGAAAAACAAAACAAAACCATTATATTATTATACGTTTTAATTGTTTACATTTACTTGATATTAATTCTACATTTATATCCATTCTATATGTTTATTTCACGGTTGTTCAATGATATTATGACATGCACAAAAATATATAATCCTTGCCTGTTCTGTTTATTGCATCAATGTTATATCCTATTTCTCACATTTCAGTGAAGAATGAAAGGCCTTGTTCATTCGTAGAAAAACGAATGAAAAAACCAACAACACTACTGTACACTGAAATACAGGAAGGACATTTATTGTCAAGTGACTTTTGAATTATCCTGACGGATATTCCGTTAAGATTTGGCCATTTCCTCTTCATTGGATCAGTAATTTTAGACTGGATACATCTCTCTAATAGGGTCGATCCTTTCTTAACCTTCCAGCGTTGAACCGACAGTGAGACATCAGAAAGAGACATGGGAATAAAATTATGAGGAGTGAACGTGCAACATCATTTCCGACATTGCCCTATCGAGGTTTATACCATATGTAGTGAAATGTCACTTGGGTCTTATTCCAGTTTGATACACACATTATGTGACATTTTTATACCAACTGACAAAATAGTATGCTCACACATAAGACACCTGGTAAATGTTTCCGCAATCAGCATCATAACATAACATCTGCAACTACATTACTCACTAGAACAGATAATTACAAAAATGACCTTCATTATGAATCTGCAACGACATATAGATTCCTGAGCATATTGTAATATTAATGTTATACACGATATAAGATATTGTCGTACTCTTTACTAACATTGTACTCTTCTTAACTTCACATATTATACTTTCCCCTCTTTAAAACAAACGATCCGTTTATCACAGAAGTAACATTTTTTTTATCACAGAACACAAAGTTGAAGATCCCATAGTTGAAACTTGAGTCCCACCTATATCACCAGGTGGCTGCTTGTGACAGACCTGAGTAGATATTCTTCTTCCAGTCACATGGCAAACCCACTTCTTTCATTTCACCTGTGGAACTATGAGACACAGTCTATTCTGTACTATGCATTGCAGACAGTTGATTACTGCCAAAGATAATGCTCGATTCTACATTAACATCAGATTTCTTTTGAAAAATTCCTGACTGATACTGTAGATGGCGTCCATCTGGATACCATATATTAGCATAAGTTGGTTTAATCCCCATTAATTCCACTCTGTCAATACTGGATCATGGCTTCCTGATCATACAATTTGTGCAAGATTGGCCCTGATGCAGACAACCACAATGGTAAGGAGTTACCATGGGTAGAACGTTGCTGAAATGTGAAAAAAAAAACATCTCATGGGGTGTAGTGTTTGTCACAGTTGACAGCGATGATCTTATATAATGTAAGGCATCAGATAGTACAGCTTTCATCTGCTGTACAGGCAGATTTCTTGAGCTTAGTGCAAGCCGCATTGCCTTCCAGATAATCCCCATATCCTCACTACCTGGCCATTACCAATAGGATTATATGGTCTGGATCTACTGATTGTTGGTTGAAGAGATAAAATATCAGTTCCTGAGACATAAATGCAACTCTGTCCGAGCGATTGTATGCAGGCATTCCAGTTAGAGTAACTATTTGTTGAAGGCGAGCAATGACTGTAGACAAGGAACTGCAAAAGATATCTGGAATATTTATCCACAACGGTGAGCATGTAAATATTGCGAGTTGAAGACGGCAACGGTCCTTTAAAATCCCTTCTTAGGCGTTCTAAAGGTTGGGTGGCTTTAGCAAGGGTACCATCTGATGGGCAATAATACTGTGGCTTTAATTGAGCACAATCTTTGCATGCAGCACAAGCAGCTCTTCATTCAAATCCCTCATAAAACAGATTTTGTTTTAGCATCAGAAAATACTTTTTATGTATTTTTTATAAGCATTTTAAAAAATATATATAATTTAGTAGCATAACTAGATTCAAACAATAAATTGGAAAGATGCTGAAGAAAGTTCAGTCACTATGCTGAAAGTATGTTGTAATGACCATGTCCAAAACCTGTTCCTTCATATTCAAACATGTAACCTAAAGCTATTTTCCATGAACTCCTTCAACTGTGTGCTGTGAAGCAAATTTATCTAGTCTGCTGTAAATCAACCCAGGAGAATTTTACTCTTTATGGATTTCAAAATGGCCCTGTTATACTGATGCTCATGCATGCTTATTCTGTTATAAATATTATTGTATGTAATAGTTGATAATCTACACCTCATTTTGCTTTTCTGCTACAACTAATTTATTCAGACTCAAAGTAACATAGAAATATCCAAAGGG